GCTGACTATACTATCAAAGCGGACAGACGGACGACACATCAATGAGAAGAGAAATAGTTTGTGAATCGGGCCTCTCGGTCTTTCACTGAATCGACCTAAAAACTTTGCAATTCTGAACACCTGTTCGAAGCGATCCATCGTGTAGTCAACGGGGTCTCACGACAATCAGCTCGTAAGGCGCTTCAAGTATGAATAATATCTCATCATGTATATATATACGTGCACGTACGTGAGCATTATCGGGTACCGGGCCGTACTGTGACGACACCTCTATCTAAGCGTCACACCACGCATGGCTCGTATACACGCGCACATATTGCCAATGGGGCTCATGCATAAGTGATCGTGGGAAACGAGCGCGCACTATACGGACCCCATTCTCCTGGCTGAAGAAGCGAATGAGAAACGCATAATACGCATTGAGGGTGTATAGGTCAATCGAAGCCCATCGCTTTCGATCACTTATTGCTTTCGAAATGATGCGAACGCCGTGATCTCGGTTCTCGCCGTTCTGAGAGTGTTCGCGCTCTTTGCTGCCCTTGTGAGCTGTACACGGTCCGCGTTGTTCAAAAGCCCAATCTTTTCAACGAGTCCGTATTAAATATCGCGCGTCTTCTCGTTTCGGCTAGACAGATCTATACGTGCGGTCTTTGAAGGCATGCCAAAGAGAGAGAGAGAAAGAGGGAGATTGTGGTAGAAAATATTGGCCCTGTATCTGCATGTTAATCTGCAAATGTCGTCGAAAAACGATAGTCTTACGTGTGGAGAGAGTGAACAAAACATTTATTTGATGTTCTGCGCAAGAAAATCGGTGAATGGTATTCTGGAGGCGCTGCGCTAGAGTCCCTCGAGCGTGCAGCGGAGGCGAACGAGCGCATCAAGTCATGTCACACGTGAGACATGATCGCCATCTGGCAGTTTTTTTTTTTTTTGGAAAACGAAGCGCGCGGCCCTGATGTGGGCGTGCGCACCCGTCTTAGAGGTGATAAGGTGTAGAACGCATGGCGACGGGTAGGTGCCACCACCGTCTCGTCTTAGCATAGCGTTGGAAACACTCGCTTCTTCGTGCAAGCTTTGCATGGTCAGCGCAGCGTGATAAACGCTACGGTCCTTAGAATTACTTATGTATGCCTTTTCTAGTAAAAGATGTATATGCAGAATATATACGTGTTGTTATGGTGCCTCAGCTAAGCGCAATAATTGCTTTTAATTGACAATCACACAAGTATGAACGTTGCATCTTGAGCAAGATTGGTGGGCGCTGCAGATGAGGTCGGCCATTTGGGGTATCTGCTGGTCTTGATTAGAGCACCCGGTTTGCGTTAAGTGTGGACAGACAAATGTTGAAACAGACAGACGAAAATTTTTGCGTCGAAGGTCCCCAAGAATGACTATCGTCTTTAATATCGTCTTTAAAAGTGAGGGGTCTGCCTCAATCAACGCTCTGACCTGCTACTCATCCGTGGGAAAGGGAAACGGCTGTAAAGTGAGAGAAAGATAGAAGGTGTTGATTACATGAGGCTAGATATGGAGGATAAATGACTTGAATTGTGAAACACTCTTCAGAGTGTCTCATCCAGTTCGCTTCGTGCTAAAGTTTGTTGACCGCCTTGAGAATGCCACTTTGATGGGCAAAAGTACCAGTAAAACCTTTTGAATCATGCGGAATTTGCAGCACTTTCGTTTGCAGGCGTGTGCAAAACCTAAGGCGAAAAATTGCGTTCAAAGGAGATAGATAGAGCGAGAAACTACAAGGGAAACGCAGATAGGTCAATTCGAAAACGTGCCTTGCTTGCTACGCTATACTTTTTGGAGGGAATATCAGGCCTGTGTAAGAAGCACGCCACTGAACCGAAAAAAAAAAAAAAAACATCCCGCGATCAATGCTGACTACAAAAGCCGAGTTTCGAGTCTCTGGAACCCTATTCTCAGCCGCATATGAGCGTTTACCGTCACCGAGGTGGACGGGATGCGAGAATTCGAAAGCCGAAAAAAAAAAAAAAAAAAGGACCTTTTTGTTAGTAGACGCGTGTTCATTTGCCACTCGTAAGGCGGGCTCCGGTCACCGCATGTCTCTGTATACGTACCATTTCAAAGCGTAAGATCTTGTTTTGTCTTGTTAGAGCGCGGACACAGATTCACTTTAATGGTTCACATTTCCATGAGTAGCGGCGGCTTCATCGGGTCACGGCGAGTCCGCCGACTGACCCAGACGCACTTTCGCACCGTCCTTCGTCCGTAAAAACGAGGATTCGCGCCTGAAAATATCGGCTTTCTGTGTTTCGACGAGGACTTCAGAGAAGCCAGTCCAACAAGAACGGCGGAAGTTGGCCGCTGCACGCCCTTCCCGAGAGAGCCGCGGGAATCGGTGGCGGCGAGCAACGGGGATTTAAAAAGCTGCAGTTGCCAATGGCTCGAAGCCAGGCGAAAAAAAAAAAAAATACCGGCGGAAACATGTGCGTATACGTACGACCACTGCCAGCTAACTTCAGAAACGATTCATAGTGTGTGCCTGTCGCTTCCGGTATACCGACGTAAAAACGAACGTTACCGGCCAAAGGACGGCCAGGAGACGCCCCTCTTGCGCAACTGTCGATCGCGCTTGGCTAGTGTCGGCACACCGCATCAGACATACGCCCGTCCTTCGCTCATTTGCAAATAAAGGTGAGACCGCGGGTGCGTGCCAATCGGCGACCCGTTTCCGGTGCATCTTGTTGACGACGCGATGATCGAGTCACGAGCAACGCGCGCGCAACAAGCAGTCGTCGGAGCGCTCGTGCATAAACGGACACCAGACGCTGTGCATATACTTGCCATCGGCGCACCCCGTTCGCCTGCCTGGTGGTCACACGTACTACGGCCGGTTCGAAGCGTAGAATCAACAGGTTCGTGCGAACCAACGAGCTGGGGGTTATTGAGCACACAATCGGCATATGCTAAGCGTGACACACGCGAATGCGGTTTGGTATGCATGTCCTCCCGTTATGTCAAGGACATACAGAAGGGTCATACTGTAGGTGAGCAGGTTATGTATCATAAAAGAACACATTTTGCGTAACAGTATTTGATTACTAGCTGCGAGAATCGAGAGCCCGCCATTCACGCAGCGATCGCACTGATGATGAAATGAGCACCGCCGCGGTATTTTGACCAATCCCGTCCGGTGAGCGTCAGTGAACACTATTGTTTCCTTCCTTCCTAAATAAAGGCCCAAATAGTTCTAAAAAATACGACTGTCAAAGAACCACAAAAGCAAGGAATGCCACCCAGTCACTGTAGTTTATGCTAGATATAGGAACTAAGTGAAACGTTAAATACTTTGGTCGACCAATTGTTCTGTTCTTGAATGATAGCATCGATCATAGAGCTATAAGCAAGCTTTGTAATGGAATTCCAGAGCTTTGCCGACGTAATCGACGTTATTGCCAGAGCTTTGCCGACGTTATTGCCACTTTAATAATGTCTCGAACGCTAACCACTGATAAGACGATGTTCCGGGCTATATTTTACAGCGAAAGCTGTTTAAAGATCACAGCTCCGGTCACGCGCAATTGTCCGCCGCCGCCGGTGTCCGTAACCACATCGCACGAAAATAAGAAAGAACTAGCACCAATTATACAGTGGGCTCGAACCCGGGTCCTCCGGGCGCCAGCCCAGTACTCTACCACTAAGCCACACTGGTGCTTGGGACTTCCTGGCAAACTTGCTTTGGGCAGGCTTGACGTCGGGAAAGCAATCGCGTTAAGAAGACTTATGAAGCGTTTTAAAACAGCAAAAGAACAACCATGTCGTCGCACAATGCGAATAGCGTAACGAGTGGGGTCGTCCAATGCTCCAAACCATTACAAAAGATTGTACTTGTTCAGATATTAACTGTGGCGCATACACACTTCAGGAATAATTCCTCATCGTCATCAGCCACTGCATGAACAAATGGCACAGAATTCTTCGCAAGTATTTAGCGGACACCACGCTTCTAAGAAAAATGACGAAAAATAGCATAGCGAATGCCGGCCTACCTAACGTTTTTATTATTAATGCAGTAGTGGGCATCAAGCAAGTGTGCTTGCAGCCGTTACGCGATGAGTGTTTAGAAAAAGCTCTAAAAGGCCGCTCTTCTAGCTTTCGCTGTGACTGTGCTACGCCTTCCGTGCTGGATTGGCGTTTTTTTTTTTTCAAAAATAGCTTGCTAGCCACCCCCAAAAGCTTCTGTGCACTCAGCTCAAAATTTCCTCGCGGAATTTTCGATTTGCGAGTCGGTTTTTGGCGGAGAAAGGCAAATATATTGTGCACTTACGCAAACACGACCAAACGAAGGCCTGAGTGCCCAATTCCAAAGTTCTCTAAGGACTGCAACACGTTTGCAATGAAACATACAGCCAACAATCGACACATCCGCTGAGGATGTATCGATGTATCAGTGTATGTCCATGTGTGTACCGTGGACTTACACCGTAACCGTGAAGTGCACGCTTACTCACCAGGAACGGCAGAGCCTGGTGAGTAAGCGCGCAATCGCACTTACTCACCAACACACGTACTGCCTGGTAGCCACACGTACTACGGTAGTCACACGTACTACCTGGTAATCACACGTACTACGGCCGGTTCGAAGCGTGGAGTTAGCAGGTTCGCGCGAACCAATAAGCTGGGGGTGATTGAGCATGTAGAATTCTCATATGCTAAGCGTGACGCGCACGAATACGTTTTGGTATGTGTGAACCTGTCCACTGTCCTGTCAATGAGATAGAGAAGGGCCATACAGGTTATGTATTACACGAAACACATTTTGCGTAAAAGCGTTTCATTACTAGTTTCATTACAAACGCAAATATAACGTACGCTTACGCAAACGCGACCAAACCAAGGTATGAGTGCCCAATTCCAAAGCTCTCTAATGACTGTGACACGCATACAATGAGGTATACGGTCAGCCATCGATACATCCGCTGATGTATACAACGACGTGTGTACCATGAAGAGCATGCATGCATACTCACCAGGAAGGGCAGATGGTTGACAGCGAAGGACAGTAAAGTAACCACGGCGACGACCGTCCAGCGATACTCTGACACACCGGCCTCGCACAGAACCTGCGGGCTGTACGGCCTCCTGGACGTTTGTCTTCCAAGCACGTGCAGAGGCTTCGAACTAGACGAGCTGACGCTGCTTCCAGTGCTTGTCGTTCCGTATTCCGGTGTCGCGGTGCGCAGCTGCTGGAGGCGTGCCTTGCGACCGAGTTGCCATCGCTGCACTTCCATGGCAACACTCATGCCGACGCTGCTCGCCATGAGCATTCCGTAGAGGACGAGCACGAACAGCGTGTACCGGCTGTCCCAGAGCTGCGGATGTAGCGAGCACTCCAACATAGACTCCGAGGAGCGGGCGAACGCCGACGCGACACCGATCAAGACGCCGATGACGGCCAGTACGGCAACGTGGTACCGGATCTGGTTACGGCGTACGCTGAACCGATACCGGTACGGCCATCGGATTGTGAGAAGTCGGTCGCCTACCGCGGACGCTAGCGTCGTTAGCTGGAAGGTGCGACTCGCCGCCAGTCCCCACAGGACGAACCCGCATGGGGCGGCGGCCATTTTGGGCCCGATGAGTCGAAGCACCGAGAAGGCGAAGCAGAAGAGCGCCGTGACCAGGTCCTGGCAGCAGACGGACAGCAGGAACAGGTCGACGGTCCTCCACTTGCGACGGTACGTGTGGAACACATAGGCCACCCAGAGGCACAGCACTATGAGCACAGGTGCCGTTGCTGATACTGCCAGCCAGAGCACTGGAAAGAGCTCCATGGTGAACTGAAAGCCCGCCGTGTTTGCGGTTTTGTGCGTTGCCCCGGACGGGAAGTCGCGAAGGGCTTTTCTCACATGACGGGGTTATTGATTGATGAAGAGGAGTCGCTACAAGCAGCAGCGGGGGGGTGGTACTGGTAGAATTGTTGGTTTTTCAGCCCCCAGTTTGGCAGCGTCGGTTGATTGGGCGAACCCGTCGCCCACGAGGTTTCTCTTTACTCTCTCGACGCGTTCACATCACTGGCTTACGGTAGAATTCCTGGCTCCGTGAGCCGGAACACCAAAGTCACAAAAGGTATCGAGATGACGGCGACACACTGGCTACTGTCGACGCCTCGACAGTAGTAGCCACGCTCTCTCAACAACTGCTTCACAAAATCATCCCAACACTAGCCTTCGCACCGTGCATCCTTATTCTAAAGAGTGCAGGTCCGAACTGACCACCACGTGCACACCTTCCTCAGTCGGTCGTTGAGTCACGCGCAGAGCGCCAAGTTTGCCGGCGCTGCATCCACTCGGAAAGTAGGCAGCAGCAACCCAGAGACACTCGCGCACAGACACACACACACTCACAAACAGTGCGATCCCCGGGCGGCACTCGAGGATCTGGTTACTCGGGATATCCAGTTTCCGAAGAAGGCGTCCGTCGTCGTCGCCGTCGAACGCCGCCTGCGGCGCGCCGCAAAGGCACTGAGCCTTTCGGCCCAAAACACGCTCACACAACAGCGCCGGCACGCACCGCCACACACGAGCACGGGAGTAGAGAGAGCCGCGGCGAAGTGTGTATCCGGAACAAGGGGAGCGCGGCGCACACAGGTCTCGCCGCAGCGCAGTCGGAGCGCGCTCTGCTGCTCTAGCCGGTTCTTTTGGCAGGCGCCGCCGCCGATGCCTGGGCTCTCTTCTCCCGGCGGGACGGGCGAGAGGCGCGGGATGCGAGGCGGGTGCTGCCACTCCGAACGAGATCGGAAAGGAGGCGAGTCTCCGGGACCTGTCTACTCCGGCACGAATCGTGCGGACCGGAAAGCACGCTTCGTGTATGCGGGTACACTTCCACTCCAGGTGCAGTCATTGGGCTTGTCATTGCAGAGTGTGCACCCGCAACTACCCGGGCAATGTGACATGTACTCCGGGCCTCTACAAAGCAATCGCGATGCTTGCGCGGTGTCAAGCTACCAGCTTTTTCGGCGGAAGCAATCTTCAACGTGGGCTCGTGTGTTCACCAATTTCCTTCACGAGCAGCGGAGCTGTTTACTCTTGACAAGACATCGGGATAGTAGTACGCACAAACCTGAGTGGGTATGCACCACAGAAAGCGGGTGTATAGTATAGCATGGGGGTGGAAGGAATAAGTGAGGCTGAGAAAGAGTAGTAACGTGAGGGTGCGAAAGAAAGGAAGGTATGGGGTAAATCATTGCGTAGCCTTGTACATTTTAGCAAGGGGTAGGAAAGAGAGATGAGAGTTAAGAAGACGGGTGAAGGTAAATCATAAGATAGCCGTGTATCGTATAGCGTAACAAGGGGTGGGAAACGGAAGTAAGTGTGAGGAGCAGTAATGTGAGGGTAACAAGGGCATAAAAGAGTAGGCGAGAGGATAGAGTGTAACATAGTCATGTATGATATAGTATAGCAATGGGGTGGGTAAGCGAAGCGAGGATTAGGAGAATGATGTGGTGGTAAGGGCCAAGGATGGAGGAGGGAAAGGCCTCCAGCACCACACTATTGGGCACCTACGCAACACGAGTTCGTAGGTGCCCCGTATAGTTCGGTTCGTCGCGAAGACCTGGCTATTGGAGTTGCCATCGCTATCAGATAGGCTATTTGCTTTGAAGGGACTGGTGCATGGAGCATGCAGTGATGTCAGTTTCGTATGTTCTGGCTGATTGTGGACCGAAATCATATATTTCTGCTCGCGGGCGCGTCCAAATAGACGCATCGTAAAGGCACGACTGAACTTGAGTTTCGACAGCCAAAGTGAAGACATGCAACAAAGCCAGTCAGTCACATGTTTGGGCTCTCCTGCCCTGCTAGTCATGAGTTTTATCGAGCAGGCACATGACAAATTCAGATCAAGAGCGGTTGCTGTCGTCCGAAGTGGTAGAAAAAACAAAGCAGAGCTGAGAGGTAGCGGCTTATTTATGATTAATTCCTTGAACTTTAGATTACCCAAAAGTTAACACTAATAATCCTTTGATGGTCAAAATTTTCTTTCAATTAACAGAACCAAGAAAGCTATGAAATGCATAATAAAATGATAAAATGTTCCAATAAGGTATTCAGAAAAAAATTGTTAATATATAGAGGCGAGTATTGAGTTGCTTCTCCTGAGCGACATTGGGCACCTATGGTAGTTGTTCACATAGAATGCCTTCCAGCAGTACCGGCCTGGGATAAGGTGTATATGCACGTAGCACCATCCAAGATTGAGATTTATATGTATAGGTCCTAAAATTCTGGTTTACACCGGCCCTGGGGACTGGCCTTGTGTCAGGTAGCCTAGAAAAGACATTTTAAAACTAAAAAAAAGCGAACATAGTTTGTCATTTTGTATAATAAAAACGATTTTTTGAGATTCATTACGGTGTAAATAAAAAAAGGCATTAAATCACGCAGACATTTTTATTTAAAAAATAGTTTCTTTGTTTGCTATGCCGGAGAAATCGGCGTGCTTGTTCTGGAAATGACGCTGACGAGGAAGAAGAGGATGAAAGGAGCACTAAATGGTCTTGACGATGATGAATTTTTCTCTCTCTTACACTAAAAACATCGAATTTATTAGCTTCACACACTGTAATTTATTACAATCGCGTCTCCCAATTTCGGCTTGTCCATATATGCCGAATGTTGCTCTTAAGGAACAACCCATTTGGTATCCAGATTTCTTTGTAACTTGCAGCCACACTCATCAGCGCGCTCATAAATGTTTTAAAACGCCTTCTGAGGCATTTTAAGCATAACAGATGTTGCAGTAGCATCCTGTTCCGTCGCAGTCGAATAAATTTCCTACAGTGTGTGGAGCTTTTTTTGTCACCTGTAAAACGCCAGAACATAATACCACAAAAATGCAATGCATCTATATTTACACATTTTTTTTTTGTAGCTGAAGACACTTGGAAGTGTTCGTCTCTTACCACATATAGTGTCAGAAGGGTAACGCAACACAGTGTGTTTGCGGAAAAAAAAACATATTTCGGGTTTGTTGCCCCAGGGCGACTTTGGGCATCAAATTAAGGGTTAAAAGAAGGGCATTGGAAGACGCTGAAAGCACGTATTGTCGGTCATTGGCAAGGGAATCGCACTAATTATCGATGCTGGTCTTTCTGTCGGAGGCGCTAAAAAAAGAAAAATGAATGATTAATAGGAACGTCACAGAATACGCCTCCAGTTACTCGTTCACTTATGTCCTGTATTCCAGAATGAAGAGGCTTGAGGTTATAGTCGGATAGAAATGACTTTAGAATTCAGTGGCATTTTCTCAACAAAGTGGATTCACAGAAGCCCGCCCCAATGTGCGCACTTTACAGAATGACGTCGTGGCCGGACTGCCGGCGACTCCGCCCGCTGAGATTATTATCGAGAGCATGTATTGGACTATTCGCGGAGGCGAACCGCTGCAGCGCTTCAGCCGTATCAGCTGAGCCTCTCCGGACTTGTATTCGACTATAGTGAATACAATTATCCTAGAGTAACAACAGAGCTTGCGCTGTGAATTCATACATACAATACGCACTGGTTTTCGATAGTCTCCATTAATCAACTGTTGCCCCAGAAAATTGAAATGGTTATTTTGGCGTCTGCATGGTTGGAGAATGCAGCGTCGTTGGGTGAACGCGATGTTGCGGCTTACATACAGGATTGTGTGGACATATCGCAAAAAAACTCTTGGCCTGCGCTGAACGCGCACCACAGTCGCACCAAAAGATCGAAGAGTGGCCTTTCATAGTCTTTTCTTAACACTCTTTGAGTAACTACTGCAAGCACACTGGCTGGGTACCCACTACACCATAAATAAACATAATTTTTGTGTAGTATATAGCTGACATTCACTATGCTATCCTTCATCATTCTTCGGAGAAGCGTCGTATTCGCTACGCACTTGCTATGAATACTGTGCAATATTTTTATGCGGTGGCGGACGACGATGGAAAATATGTCTGAAGTGGGCATGCGCCACAGTTATTTATAGGTGAACGAGAACGAATTTTCATGATGGGTTGGATCATTTGACAACCCACCCTTTACGCAATTCACATTGTGTGACGCCTGGTTGTTCTCTTGATGTTCTGAAAGGCTTTATTCCTCATGTTAGCGCTCGCGGGTTCAAATCCCGGCTGCGGCGGGTGCATTTCCGATGGAGGCGGAAATGTTGTATGCCCGTGTGCTCAGATTTGGGTGCACGTTAAAGAACCCCAGGTGGTCAAAATTTCCGGAGCCCTCCACTACGGCGTCTCTCATAATCATATAGTGGTTTTGGGACGTTAAACCCCACATATCAATCAATCAATCAATCCTCATGTTAGCGCGATTTCTTTCCCGAAATTGAGCCTGCCAGTTTGGAAGTAAGTTACAAGCGCCGGCGTGTCTCAGTGGTAGAATACTGGCCTGGCCCGAAACGGGCCCGGATTTGAATCCCATTGTTCCCTTGAGGATTTTTTTATTCACTGAGTTTCTTTTTAATTTATTTCTCGCGATATTGGTTAAGGACTACGGCGGTGGTCGCGGCGTACAACTATGGCGCTGCACATGACCTGTGTTCTGATCTCATAACAGCTTTCGCAGTGCGAAGGGGCGATGCAGAAACACCACCGTTGAGTTAGAATAAGTCCAATGGAAAGGAAAATTATATGTGAAACGTTAGAGAGAAGATTTGGGTCAGGGAACAATATGGGTGTTAAGGACACCATTTAGTTAAACGGACAGGACTCATAGCGCACAGGCAGGAGAACAGCTAGTCATTAAAGCTAACCGACAGGATTTCAAGAAAAGGCAAACGGACGAAGAAATGACAAAATGTTAGGTGGGCAGATGAGATTAAGGAGTTTGAGGATAACTTTGCAGCAGCAAGCACATGACAGGGATGATTTTTGCAACAAGGGAAATGCCCATGTACCCTGCAGAGGGGTTAGCCAGGCAGATTATGATGGTTAAGAAAGTTTAGGTGGTTGGCAATGTGGTGGGGTCGGACTGGCATCCAAAGTAGAAAGTACTATCCAAAGCGGGTCAATGATCCGCCAGTGCTCCGCTAAGGCGCGTAGCTGGCGCGGCGTCATGTACTCAAGGTCGAACTATACAAACCACGTCGATGAAAGTTATTGTTCTAGAAATTGATACAAGCACTGTATGGGCAGCTTAAGTAAAGAGTGATCATGATTGCAAAGCCCTTAAAGAAGTTTTCGTCTTTGTTTGCGTTATGATTGGAATGTAATCGTCCAATGGAATGATTTCTTAGGACATGCTGACTAGCGTAAAGAGGACGAGTACAAAAAAACACGAAGAAACACGTCTCTATTCCTCTCATAACTGTCTCTTTCCGCTAGTAATCATGTCCTATTATGTTGATAGCAATTAGCCGAACTTTCTCCCTTGACCGTCATACGTCATACGGTCCTATAGCTCCACCTATCACGTTCCACGCCTCTGGTACTGGGTTTTTTTTTTTTTCATTGACTTGCTTAGCTCTTTAGGAGCAACGAAAATCAATAAGCTGCATTTTATATACAGGGAGGGTCAAAAGTTCCTTGTCCACGTTTCCATAGGATTACATGGGATTAAGGCCTGGGAACTTTAGGCTAGCCTTGTACATTGTGGCTAATCTTGATGTGTGCACATTGAAACC